AGAGAGAGAGAGAGAGAGAGAGAGAGAGAGAGAGAGAGAGAGATAGAGAGATAGAGAGGTGGAGGAGAGCAGGTAGCGCACACGCAGCATGGATTAGGAACTCTAGAACACACGCAAATATAGCGATGCTGCTAACCGCACCTGAGCGCACATGATGACCACGACGACGACGACGACGACGACGACAATGATGATGATGATGATATATAGTGAGTAGGGGGGCGTGAAGGGCGGACACGAAGGTGACGCGCGCGCATGTAGGACAACAACCTCTCACGCACGCACGCACGCGCCCGCGCGCACGCACACGCGCCTATACTCTGACTTACATAATTCTTCGTTTAGCGGCATATATGTTCGGCATGCGGCTGTAAGCGTGAGCGCGGCGCGTATGTGTGGATTCATGGATGAACCTTATTAGTAAATTATACGGTGTGTGTGTGTGTGTGTGCGTGCGTGCGTGCGTGTGTGTGTGCGTGCGTGCGTGTGCGTGCGTGCGTGCGTGCGTGCTTTTTTGTGTGTGTGTGCGTGCGTGTGTGTGTGTGTGTGTGTGTGTGTGTATGTGTGTGTGTTTTACCTCGGTTTTTCTACTTTTAAGCAGTATCGTGTAAAGTATGTGAGAAATTCCGCCACAGTATCAGATTAATTTTAAAATCATTATTTATTTCGCATGTTCCTGTACAAAGCGTAAGAATTCGTGGGATGATAAGTTATATCATTTTATAGGCGCCTGTATAGTTTCGAACGAATTGAGTTTAGTCATGTTGTTTTATGGTGCTATTATAACATGTTACGTGTGTGTATCTATTTGTAATTTCTGTTTCATAATGTCTATTGGTGCGTGCGTGCGTGCGTGCGTGCGTGCGTGCGTGCGTACGTGCATCGGTGTTCGTGACCGAGCCCGACCTCACTTTAAATTTCCGTGTTTCGATTTTGTTTCGTATGGAAAATTCGTCCATAACAAAAGTAGAAACGGTAAGGCGGGTGGCGGGGATGAAAGGCGGCCGACCTACAAACGGGCCGGCTCAGATGTCTCGGTATCCGCGGTAACACTGCTAGTATGGGCTAGCCGTTCTCATAGAGATTACTGGCATGGCTTTCTCACCTCTACGCCATCTGGCTGGTCCGGTAGGGGTCTCTCGCTACGTACATGCACCCTCTTTCACTCGACGACTACACTAATGGCTTTCTCGTAGGTTAGTTCTCGTTTATGCATAATGAAAGGGCGGTGTATTCACCGGGGATCGCCTACACGCGTCACGTGTGTATCGCCGGATGTTACCTTCAAATACTCAGCGAGAGTAGAGCGTAGCTAGACGACCCACACGTCCTTCTCGGGTCGTACGGAAGGCGCGTGCGTGCGCTCACGGCGTGCAGAGCGGCGTGGGGGTACGTCTAGAGAGTAATTTTGTATCGTGTGATGTTCCTGTATACTCAGGTGGGGAGTGCACCAGGGGAGAGAGGGCATTCTTACACTGTGAAAGAAAAGCAATAATGTTTGTCTTCTCTCTACTTAAAAAAGCAATAGATCTTTGATGTAAAGATTCAGGATGATCGTTGTTGTCGTATCTATTTTTGTGTCGGTGCCGCTGGCCAGGAAAATGCCTCAAGTCCGATCCCAGCAACTAAGTTCTAACCGATACTTCGCCATCCCGTGTTCTTCCCGAGCAAAGTACTTCATTTGCTTGGCGTAACCGAAGTCATTGTCTTCACACAATGTCTTCCTTAGCATGGGGAAGCTTCATTGGCATGGAAACTCCTAGTCTTACCACAAAGTTTTCCTCGGCACAACAGGAACGCTTCTATAGAATGGGGAAGATTTTGTAGTAGTCTTTGTCATCCCGTAAACTCTTCCATGGCGTAGGGAAGCTTTATTTTACATGGAAATTCCTAGTCTTCCAAACAGTTTTCATTAGCACAGGGAGGCTTCCTTAGCATATAAGGATATTTCGTAGCAGGTGAATTCGTTGTCTTCCTATTAAGTCTTCCCTGACATGGAAAGTCCTAGTCTTCCCGTAAAGTCGTCCTCGTGATGAGGAAGCTTTCCTAGACTCGAAAGTCGTCTTCCCACTAAGTCTTCCCGGACGTGCTTCCGGTTCATCGTGTGACCTTAGCGAATGCGAGAACTTCTGTAATTTGCTTAGTTACGGTTTCATGTGATTGGATGTCGAATTTCTGCGAAAACACGAATAAAGATCGCTGGCAAGATAATGTTATGCACTCGGAAGAATTATTCACGGTATTTTCCTGGACTGTCCGCTGTCTAGTTGTCTCACTGTTGCCTGTAGAGAATCGTAGGGTGAATAAAAAAACTTGTTATTAAAAGTAGTGCATATAGAGGGAGTCCAAGAGCTGTTACAAGAGTTTTCTTGGTTGCGCCGCGGCGCGCCCATACGGCTACGTAAACCAAAGATATAATTACCAAATATCGTCTTGAGAACTATTTTGTGTATTACCTTGTCACGTGACGGATTCGGTCACGTGTTTTGAGCGAGTCGTGCCTCTCGTGCCCGTTTTTTTTTGTTGTTGATCGGTTTGCATGTGCAATAATTATATACGCGTCCTAAAAACGTTTACATGTTACATTCGGTTATGTTAGTTCGCCGTTTATAGACGCGTGTCTGTTCATTGCGTAATGAGTCTTA